CACTGATTTACGGATGAGAGTCGTTTTGTCATGGTGACTGACCGACTGACTGACGGGACGGGCCGCTGGGTGCGTGGCGTACATGTATGGATGGTCAGTGTGACTGTCTTCTCTCAGGACGGCAGTCGACGGGCGCATGCAAGAAGCACGGCGACACACTGAAGAGCATTTCGCCTCGTCATTGATGATATACCGCTGCGCTGATGAAGGGAGGGAGATGTCAGCATCTCTGCCGTGTTCTAGAATTGAGCAGCATTAGGGTAGGCGTTGTGAAACTGACATGCTAAGGTGACGGGCCTTATTGGGCCAAGTGAGTTAGGGAAGGACAAAACAGGAGCAAGATCGGGGAAAATGGTGTTGAAACTGAATGAGTTGGCATTGGACTGTTGAACTGTTGATTCAATGTTGCTTGGTAAAGCTTTTTCATGCTCCAGTGTGGCCACTCGGGCCCTCTGGAGGTTGGCATAGTGTCCGTCGTTCAAAGTTACATCACTCACCCATTCTACTACTAGACACCGCTCCATCGGCACAACCACAAGCCGACCCGGGAGCATTTTGGTGCATCTGCCGTGAAGCGCAGCACGGCGGTCGAGTGACATCGTGTTTGGACGACAGACTGGACACAATGGCGAAGACCCGCAGCGGTCGGAATACGCAGGAGTCCTCTCCTGCACATGCGGCGAAGCCGATCACCAAGGCGGCTAAGCCGAGGAAGCAAAGGACACGTGTGAGTGAACCATCGCGTGAAGTGATTCGACCCACCGAGGAAGCCTCACACGCAAATGTAGCTCCATAGATGAGGCACCGCACGAACAAGGCGCACTGGCGCATGCCAATGATGGCACAAGTAGCCCAATCGACCTCTCACACACTGATGTGCATGAAGGCAGCAGCCGTCTTTTTGGCCAGGGTGACCGCATGCCAGCACATGACATACAGAGGCCATCCGTGAACCTTCAGACTTTCAAAGGCACGTCAGACCTTGCTGTCGATGCATTCATTGAGGGGGACAGGGCAGATGAGCAAGTGCATAACCTCGAGAGAGGTCAAATACTGCCATACGTCATGGCTGCACTGCAAGGCACTGCACTCAGAAGGGTGAACCGATGGATGAATGAACCGGGGAGTGCATTCAAGAGTAGTAGCAATAAGGCAGTACAGCTGGAGCTGCTCTTAGGCTACTTACAAAAGGAATTCGGTCAGAAGCCATCAGAGGCACTCGTGATCGCAGAGGCGATGAAAGCATGGCGGCAAAAGCCCAAGCAGACATTCAAGGAAGCATACGATGAGTTCTACGAACTCTACGACAAGTCAAGCAAACCAGAGCCAGAGGCAGTCGACCTATTCATCAGTGGCTTGCAGCGCCAGCTGAGGGACGAAATATACCGCAAGAACACCGACCCACGCTCATTCAGCGCCATCAAGGATATCGGCTTTGACGCTGAAGTGATTGTGATGCGCACGCGCAAGCACCCACTGGATGAAGAGGAAGAGAGTGACGCCGAAATGACACGACCGTCAAAGCCGCTCGATATGAGATACGCGCGGTCGGCCAGCAACCTGAGCAGCCACCCAACAAAGCCAAAACAGGAGAGTCAGGCGAGGAGTGTGTTGAGTCGGTGCTTGCCTCTGTCAACGCCATGAAGGCAGAGGTCATCGAGAGCATCAAGGAGATGCAAAATGGCCCATCCAAACCACCTACACAAGGGGCGAGACGCCCACCGTGGGACAGAAACAGGGGAGACGTGCCGACACAGCGGTCCTTTTATGGCTACTGTGATTGGTGCGAGAAGCAAGGCCACCGATGGCGAGACTGTCGAGAATTACAGCAGCTCGTGCGAGGCGCCAGACGGCAGCGCGGACACAGACCTACACCACAGACAACAGGGGCAAACACAATCAGACTGGAGCCCAATCATGTAGCCCCTCCTGCTCTCACACCACCACCAGCTCACCTGCAGCTGGAAAACGAATAGCTCCTCCGCAGTAGGGCCGGCGAGGGGACACAATAGAAGGAGAGACCGCCCTACACACACCACACGGGAACCACCAAGTAGTCAGAGCAATGCATGCAGACACTGATTTGTCGCTTACTGATGGAGTGGTGCGTCAAGGTGATGCGCTCTTGCAGGAGCCTGAGAGGACGTTGTCCATGGCAGAAGCGTTGACTGGCCCCCACACTGACCGAGCACTCAGGAATGATAGGAATGGGGTACATAATCCTAGGGTACCCATTGTTGGCTGCGGGAGGCAGCAGGAAGAGGTTTCGGCGTTGGCTCGTGCGTCTACCGCGAGTCGGCGTAAGCGTGCAGAGAGAGATCCATCCGCTCGTGGCGACCAAGGGGAGAAGGCGGCTACGGCGGCAGCCTGCCCTGGAAGTAAGCCCACATGTGTCGATCCGGCTGATGAGTGCCAGCCGATGGAGCGGGATGATGAGACTGCCTTGTTTGGTCGGGCCGCTGGCAGTCCGGAACCCGATCAACAGAGGGAAGAAACGGCAGGGGGGGACGCCTTCCTGTGGCGAGGTTCTTCATGGGCCGAAACCTAATGGACAGAGAGACAAGGATGGTCAGAATGAGGCTAGCAGCACAAGCTGGTGTGGTGGCGCACCGATGGCTGGTGCACGTGTGCATCATGTTGATGACGACTCGAATAGGAGGCTGCATTGCTGCGTAGCGGAAACACACGGGAGAGATGGGGACGTCATGCCTGCAATCAGATGGCAGATATACGTACGAATGAGAGTGAATGGTGTGAGGGGGCATGTGTTGGTTGATACTGGTGCTGACCTGAGTTTGATGAGTGCCAGGATGCTCGACAGACTCCGAAAGGAAGGAGACAGAGAGGTGACAATCGGTCCTGCTGACGTCAAGCGAAGTGTGCCGCATCACGGCGACGTGACGGTCAAGGGGGGTCGTAAAGGACAGACACAACAACCGACCCCATAGCTGTCGATTTTTATGTCATTGATGACCCGAAACATGTCGTCTTACTTGGCGGCGAGGCAATCCGTGGAGAAAAAGTCATCATTGACCACAGCGATGGCAAAGTGCACGTCACGTCATGGCCGAGCTGGCCACCTATGGACTTGCCTCACAAACAAGCAGAACAAATGGCCTGAGCATCGCAGCTGTTGGGCTGACTCGACTGGACATACCATTGGGAGAAAAGAGGCAGACTTGTCAGGTGCTCGTCACGAAGACAGCCATTCCAGCCGGCAGAGGCACATGGGTGCGTGCACGCTTAAGTGGACCTGACTGACCTGGCGATGTGCAGATAGGGGAGATTGGTTGTCTCCTAGTGCATCCAGCACGCTCGAAATGTTGCCTGAGAGATGACATAACCAACAGCAGCAGGCACAGCATCC